TCTACAAATCATTATAGACTATAATATCCTGATACCTTGTAGAAAAAACGAAATATATTAAATGTCACCAGTAGTGGAGATACATTAGTATGTCGAAGACCATTACCTTAATACTAGGAAGAATTATTAAAGGTAAAAAAAAATAAGATACACGTGAATATTGAAGATATTCACGCAATAAAAAGATTTTTGTTAATTAGGAATATTCAGGGAACTTTATTAAATTATGACAGTTAGATAATAGTGGACAAAACCCGAGGGCAAAAACCACTCTGAAAATGAAGGGACAAGAGAAAAAAAAACAATAATTAAAAAAAAGTTTTAACCTACAACTTTTAGACAGTAGACGTGAAGTGTCTTCCGCACAGGAACAAGTCCGTATACTCCGGACGCTGTGGATAATTTTTGTAATCTGGTCGGCCGGACCGTACTTGGGCACTGCGGGAATAATATATACATTATGTATTAAGTATACATGACACAACACTGACCAATAACCTTGTATTTTACCAATTATAGTAAATCATAAATAATAATAAAAAAGTATATATTATTACAGAGAATACATTTTAACATAAAAAGAAAAAAACTAATACATTTAGTGGTAGTAATTGAGGATTTGGATTTTTGATAGAAATCTTTCTCTGTAGAAAACGATGCATTATTGGATGCCATGATTGAGTTGGGGGAAGCTGATTAGTTTACTCATGATATGGTACTTTTAGTTCATAAAACTAGTTGGTATCCCAACTCTAGCTTATCGATGGTCTTCTTCAAAGCAATGTAGATTCCTTTGAATTATTATCCCTCATTAATTTTCAAACTCATATGAGAATCACTCGTTCCTCTTTTCCCTTCTTTATTTCTTACTGCTCAATATCACAATTGCTTAATTCTTCTAAAATTTAATTAATGCGTGCTGCTAATGGTATCAACATTCTTATTATAGTTAATACAATTTAAGTTTTTTTCTTCTCAGTATATGTATACTGAAAAGAAAAAAACGGTAGCACAGTGGGGTCGCGGCATAGTGGAGACATTGCATAGTAGGGTCCAGTATAGATTTAATCTGACAGTGATTAAAATCACTATCATAAGAAACGCTTCGATGCAAATCTGTAGATAGTGTTTAATTTTAAAAAATTGATGGATAATTGCAAAAGCAACATCAACTTCTATTAAAATAAAATACAAAACCCATAATTATCATACAAAAATAGTATATTTTTCAATATGGTAGCCATTTGCG